GGATAAGGGTTTAGAAAAGGCGGATGGCAAACTAGGGTGAAACTTAATTATGTCCTTACCTACTTAACAATTCAAATATTACATCTACAAATCTCTGTTTACTCGTTCATAACCTACTTGATTGGAATAATAGACGATAATGAATGTATTAACTCCAGTAAGTGCATTATAACTCTCTGTGATTAATGGGATTCAATTCCCGGATAACCCGTGGCTTTGACTCAAAACAATCAATCTGTTTGCACGGGAGCCTTATTGGTCTGAGCTCATAGATAAATTTTAACCCTACCCAGATATGAATTTAAAACTTTTACACATTAGTACGAACATTAAATGTCTCTTTGAGGATGCAGGGTGCTAAGCCGTAATTTGGTCGTTTCCGATCCTTTTGGTCCGCCCATCACCGCCGTTTTCGCTCTTCTTCAGCCGGAAGCTTGCAAATATATCCGCTGAAAATGGCGAAAAGATGACAAAAATACAAAAAACCTACATCTAATAGATTTCAATACTATTGTACAACATAATTGTGACTAAATAAATAATCTCTAAAGCGTAAACTTGTAATTTCTGAAACAGTGAAAATATTGAACCTTTAAATTAATTAATAGCTAATAATAAATTAATTATATATTGTAAATCAGTCAGTTTGTTAAAAAAAAATCTTTATATGTGAAAAAATTAAATGAGCACAAACGTATAAAACTAGATTGCTCTTGAACGTGTAGTTTGTTTGTTTCCAATCAACCTGGTCCGCCTATCCTCGCTGTTTTGGTTGTCTGCAGCTGAGGGCTTGCAAATAAGTACGCTGTAGATAACGAAAAGATGGCCAGATTTCATAAGCTTATAGTTTCCAAATTGTAACTAAACGTAGAATCCCAAAAGCGTAAACTTTGGATTTCTGAAACAGTGAAAATGTTGAGACTTTAAGTCGTTAGTAACTAAATTAATTATATATAGACAATCAGTCATTTTGTGGTAAATAATATCTCTACGTAACAAAATTAAATTAGTACGAACATAATAAACTAGATTGCTGTTGAATCCGAAGTTCGTTCGTTTCCCATCATCCTGGTCCGCCTATCCTCGCTATTTTCGGTCTTCTACAGCTATGAGCTTGGAAATATCTACGCTGAAGATAGGGAAAAGACGATCAAATCTCATAAGCTTATAGTTTCCAGATTTTAACCCAAAGAGATTTGATTGTAACAAAATATAGAATCCCCAAATCGGAAACTTTTTATTTCTGAAACAATTAATACTTTGAGAGTTTAAGCTACATTCAATTAATTAATTGTATATTGAAAATCAGTAATTTTGTTGAAAACAAACTTTCTATGAGTCAAAATTAAATTAACATAAACATGTTAAACTAAGTAGATGACTGTTGAACCTGTAAGTTGTACGTTTCCGATTATCCAGGTCCGCATATCCTCGCTGCTTTTTGTTTACCAGAGACCTTTTGAGATTTCAGTAGTGGCTGGTTTGAGAGCTATTTTATCATGGGTTATATAATGGTTTGTCATGAAATATATGAAAATATATTGGATGACGTGTAGAGTGATAGTTTGCTATGCTCGCTGCTTTCATATTTTAGACAATATTCGTTATTAATTACGTAATAAACATTCAAAACATCTAGACATATTCTATAAAACATGGGCTCGCTTCTACTGATTGAGGCAAGGCCATTAAGGATAGCAGTTAGGATCGGAGACGACCAAACTCAGAAACGGTAACATAGAATTTTCCAAAATCTAGTGTCTTTTCAAACCTTCAGATTGGCAATTTACTGTGTTACTCCATTTTAGCATCTTTTGTTTTGGAAGGAGTTGGTTAGTTAATTATTTTAGACCATCTTTGTACTCATTGTAAATGAAATAATTAAATAAGTATCGACAGCATAGCACAAAACTCATCATTGAAAATGGCAAGAAGCCGAAACGCGTGTGTCAGACCATACCTTGCAAAAAATAGATCGTAATGACCAAATTCATGAACGATCACATAGTCCCATAGAACGTTCCGAAATCTAGCGTCGTTCTATCAATACTGGATGGTTTGACCGTATTCTAACATCCTGCCCTATCTTATCCGTTTTGGTCAGGACTGTCCTCATTTCTCTATCGTTATTTAGGGGCGGGGGGGGGTTGACTTCTTGTAAAATAATTTAATATACATTAAGATCGACATCAGAGCACAAAATGCATTACCGAAGATGACGAGAAGCCAAAATACGTCTATCAGACCATTCCTTGCAAAAAAATAGTTGATCGTGGTGATCAGAAATGACCAAGATCCATGCTGGATACTTTGACATTAATAAGTAACAAAAAAATTGTTTACTATCATCCTGTTCTGTCTATCCTAGCTTTTATGATCATTCAGACGCCTTTCTGCGTATCACTATCGTTATTGAGGTTGGTTAACCCATATTTGGCATGTAAATAAAATAAATAAACATTAATGAATCGACAACATATACCAAGTCCATTACTGAAGATGGCGACAAGCCAAAGCACTCCTGTCAGACTATACTTGGAAAAAAATAGGAAGACTTCAGCAAAATGATCGGAGAGGACGGTTCATCACTTTAAAAATCATTAAAAAACCTCCCTCCAGGACTAGGTTAGTGTGTTTCTGATGATGATCTATATACCTGTCCACCAGTAGGCAGATCAGGAATTTTGGAAACGACCAAACTATAAAAACGTATTGTTATTACACTTATTATAGTTTAATATAGATTTAATTGAAAGATAAACCGCTTAGTTATTATATAGCACGTGTTCCTCCTTGGTTCAAGTGATTGAACGGATTTGGTAAAACCGCTCAAGAGGTCGATCACAATGAAGTTGCAATTTTCAATCACAGTTTTTGCATTATTAAGAGGCTCAACCGGTTCAATTAGGCTTTGTTGAAATACAATTATTATTTGTTAGAGCGGGGCGATGCGAAAAGGGGAGAAATCTGCGGCTGCGGAATCACATGGGGGGACGCCTTCCGGTTCGCCCCGGGCAGGGTTTACGCCCCTCTCGCTTTCACAATTAAGACCCGCCATTAAATGGAAAACTGGATTCATACTAATTGTCCTCACGTAGCTGAAAAACTTAGAGAAAAAGAGGGGAAAACGCGAATGTTGAAAAGTACAAAAAAAAAGGTTGTTGTGCAATTTAGGTTTGTGGGGAAGAAGATCCCCTGAGAGAAGGGTGGAGTAGTTAAGTAGCCGACAAAGCCGTCGAGAAAGAACATGTTCGAATGTAAATCTCCTTGTGAAGTGAACCGAAGGAGCCTTAAGCCCCACGCCAGCCGCCTTACAACACCTTCCACCTATACCGACTCAACAATAAGAGATTTTTCAATAAAGATATCCTCACTTTTCTCTTAATTTGGTTTTTTCCTACTCACAAGAGACGTATTGGTAGGATTTGTCAAAGAAGTTTTGTTTCTTATACTTCCTAAGTTCCAAATTAACTCTAGACATGACGATCTTTTGTTTTTTTAAGTCCGCTCATTCTGGTTTATTTCACTTGGGTTAAAAAGAACTTTTAGTTTTAACTAAAAGAGAAACTGCAACACAATGACTGACAGCAGGGTCGCATTAGACTTGACGAAAAATTTCGGCAATAAAGAATGTCTAGTTGTGGAAGTGACTTATTCCTATATTTACAATAATATATAGGAATATTTGTTGGGTGAAAGCACACAAAAGGTTGGACTGAAATGAAGAAGCGGATAGGCTTAAAAAGAAAGTAACAATTAATCAATCAATCATGAACAACTTGAAATATCCTTCGACAAAATTCCAAGTGGTGTGACGAACCATCTAATTGATAAGGCCTTTAGTCATGGGGGTCAGACTTGGCAGCAAATTTGTCAAAGAAGTTTTGTTTCTTATCCTTCCTAAGTTCCAAATTAACTCTAGACATGACGATTTTTTGTTTTTTTAAGTCCGCTCATTCTGGTTTATTTCACTTGGGTTAAAAAGAACTGTTAGTTTTAACTAAAAGAGAAACTGCAACACAATGGCTGACAGCAGGGTCGCATTAGACTCGACGAAAAATTTCGGCAATAAAGAATGTCTAGTTGTGGTAGCGACATAATTGGTATATTAAAAAAATACGGAATATTTTTAGGTTGAAAGCGCACAAAGGGTTGGACGAAAATGAAGAAGCGGATAGGCCTAAAAAACTATCAATCATGAACAACTTGAAATATCCTTCAACAGAATTCCAAGAAGTTGTGTGAAGAACCATCTAATTGATAAGAGGCCAGATTTGGCAGCAAATTTGTCAAAGAGGTTTTATTTCTTACTCCTTCCCAAGTTCCAAATTAACTCAAGACGTGACGATTTTCCTCTTTTTGAAGTCCGCTCATTCTGGTTTATTTCACTTGGGTTAAAAGAACTGTTAGTTTTCTAACAAGAGAAACTGCAACATAATGAAGGCAATAACAAGGAACGCATCGTAAACTAAAAAGTTTTTTCCAACTGTTCTCTAACGAAGAATAAATGACTTACCGTTGGGCTTAAATTTAAATTAATTTACACCGCAAGGAATGTAAGAAAAAGTGAAATCGCAGCCGGATTCAGGTTTATCAAAACGTGTTGAAGGTTTAGCATAATTTTATGTCATTTCACGTCCAACTATGCTGGACAACGCTTTTAAATTGTGACAACCGTCACGATGAACGAGAACGGAAACTTTAATTTTCAAAGAAATAACGGTTTTCTCAGATTTTATTTTCAACGAATATAACTTTCATTAAAGTGACATTTCTATTATGCAAGCCTCGGTGGACGCAAAACCAAAAGTAGAAATTTTTATCTGGTGATATTAAGGTTTGCCAGCATGTTGTCCGTCTTGTCTCTGTGTTTTCCATCAGATTTATTTTTCCCAATGTACAATGACTACATATTAAGATAAGTTGAGTAACGTTTAGAAGAATTTTAACAGAAGAAGGACTATGTAACATAGGTCATCCATAAACCGTTCAAATTGCAGGCTTATATCCCGGACTTTATCCCGGATACATGGGTGCGGTGGCGATGGCGGTGGGCCAGCAAGCACCCCCGCCGAAGAGGAAGAGGAGGCACAGGACGATATTCACCGAGGAGCAGTTGGAACAGCTCGAGGCCACATTCGACAAAACACACTATCCTGACGTTGTCCTCAGGGAGCAGCTGGCTCTCAAAGTCGATCTCAAAGAGGAACGAGTAGAGGTGAGTCTCAAAACCTTAGTAATTTAGAACCACGGATCATTTTTATACCATTTTGTGCGTAGGATTTAAAATACAATTTGAAAGCTTTAAACTATGTAAACTTTGCTTTGTCATTTTTCACCAAACCAATTGAAATGGTTTCTTTCTCTTGGGTCTTTTTGCTAACTATGCCATGCAGCTGGACAAATGGCATATGCAATCCTCACACGCTTAACATATATGCCATTCTCATGCAGTCCTTGTTACAATTCTGCATTGACGTTATTTAGCTCAGAGTAGGCTTTCTCTGGTTGGATTAGGGCAAAGCCCATCAGATATAGGATTGTTTGGGTATTTAATCTTTATTCTATGTTGTCAACTTTTATGCCTACCTGCAAATCGAACGCCAGTCGTCAAGGAAGATTATAAAGCAGACTTTCTTTTACTCTACTGACTTCTCATATTATTGCTGTGAGCGTGATTTGTATGACCCCATCCAAGTAAAACATAATTTTCTTTGAAATTCTATTGTTCATGCTAATTGCCGATTGATCAAAAACCACCAGCCGCTGTTAAACGTTAAAGATGATATCACTTCTGACCCGTTCGACGATAAGCCGGATCTTCCCTCGGCTACCTGCCATCTTGATTTAGGACCGGTCCTCCGGGGCTTAGATTAAACAATAGTTAATTGTCGTACAGGTAGCCGAGATGATGCTCAAGACGGTAGGAATCCGATAATAGAAGAGTTGTTGAGTGTTTGCTCTGCCGTTTGTTTGCCGGCTCCTTACTTAGGCTGAACAAACAGCGGTCACCGACACACACCACCCACAACTTTTTCGAATCTGACCCTGTCATCCGGGCCCGAACCTCTTCCCCTACGCAATAGGGCAATGACAAAAAGTCCTCGAGCCTTTAAGAAAGGTCTCGGGTTACCGCTGGAGAAACTTTGAAATATGAATTTTGCTCAAGTATCACTAAAACCCCTGAATAAATAAAATTCTTCTTTTTAAAACCTTAATTGTATAAATCATATTCAACCATCACTATTATTGTAAGATGTTCGCAAGTATGACTCATATCCATTCAATAATGATCATACAAAAACATACAGTGAGAATAGGTGGACTTCATAAGCATCACATTTTGCTTATATATTGTTGAACCATTTTTAACCATGAAAATACCGTTGAGTAAACAACTTCCTCAAGACCGGTCAAAAGTAAAAAAGTAACAAATTCACTGATAACAATGTTAAACATGTCTGTCAATAGCGGAACTTCAAGGGTTTGAAGGCATCCACTGAAAAAGTATCAAAAAATTTTGGTGCATGATAAACAGGAACCAGTTTGGCCATGAGCCGTTGATGAACCTCCAATATCGTTCATTCTGGCTTAACTACCCCGTGTATTTACCACCGAAAATCACGAGGTTACTGTAACCAAAAATTAAATTAACAATTCCCATAAGCCAAGCGGCCCTAAAAGCTTTAGGCCAAATATATCACTTCCAAAATAGTTGATAAATACATCCAAACCGAAACAAAACACAACCCGACAATATCACGGGTACCAGACCATAAAGCCTGGGTAATGAATAAGAAAACCAGCTGACCAGAGTAGGATCTGCAAGACAAACTCCAGATCATATATGCCTTCTTCTATCTCAAAATAGGTACGTATAAAGCAATGCACGACATCCCAGACACAGTAAACTGTTGTTAAAGAACCATCGAAAAAACTAGCATACTGTGCTGGGTATTGACTAGCAGTTTGTGGGCTGTTTTTTTACGAGACACTCGAATCTCTAGCCATTCCAACATAACATGCCAACTATGTTATCTTCGACTGCGACTCTAAATATAAGGTTCCATTGGATTGAACCAAGAAACTAGGAAAAGAATAACATGCACAAAGGCTGCAGATTTGGAAAATGTGAGCTTCCTAGTATCCTCATCATCAATTTTGGTCATTTACCATCATCCTGGACCGTCTTTACTGGCTGGTTTCATCTCTCTGCATTTCAATGATTGATCAGTTTGTTATATTGCCAACCTTATCATTTAAAAATAAAGAACAACCCAGACAAAAAAATCGCAAAGTATGGACGAGTTTGACAAAATGTAACTCAGATCAACCACTGTAGATTGAGATAAAACCGTTAATATAGTAATCAGGATCGCAAAGATGGTCAGAGATCAAACTCAGAAACGGTCACCCGGAATTTTCCAAAATCTAGCGCAAATCTATTCAACACTGGATGATCTGAAGTATGTCCGTTTATCCTGGTCCGTCATTCGTGGTTTCATCTGATGGACAAGTATCAGCATTTCAGTAATTGGACTGTGCGTTATGTTGTCAATCGTATCCTTAAATAATTGAGAAAACCTAGACAAATTCCACAAAAAATGGACAAGTTTGGCGAAATATCACACAGGCCAACCAACGTATATTGAGACAAAATCGTTAACATAGTAATCAGGATCGCAAAGTTCGTCGGACTAAACTAAGAAACTTCACACAGAATTTTCCGAAATCTACGCAAATCTATTCAATACTGGATGGTCTGCAGTATAGTCATTTACCATCTTCCTGGTCCGTCTTTACTCGCTGCTATCACCTCTCAGCATTTCAGTGATTGGTCAGTGTGTTATATTGCAACCTTATCCTTTAATAATTGACAAAACCCAGACAAAAAATCTACAAAAAATGAAAAAGTTTGACGAAACACCACTCAGATCAACTACTGTAGATTGAGACAAAACCGTTAACAATGGTACACAGGATCGCAAAGATGGTCGGAGACGATCAAACTCAGAAACGGTCACACATAATTTTCCGATATCTTGAACAAAGATATTCACTACTGGATGTCCTGCAGTAAGGCCGTTTACCATCATCCAGAACCGTACATCCTAGATGTTTTGGTCTTTTTGTTATTTCTTCTTCTCTGTATGTGTTCTTTGTCAGTTGCGGTCTTGTTTAAACTATTATACTCCTCTTTGGCCTAGAGTAAAAGTCTTTGGTGAAAAGGTTAGTTATGGAGAATTCAGATAGGCACCAAATAAATCAGTGTTGCCAATACACAGGCAGAAAAAGAGCAGGAACAACACAACGCCCGCTCTAAAATCACGGGATTTCCTACTATCCTGAAACAAAATTGCTGAAGTTTACATTGCTCTGAAGAAACTTTGAAAAATAATGGCCAATTTCTAGGTATGACTGTCTTCAGTGGTTGGTCTATATGCTATTTTTTTAAGTGTGTTTGTAATAGTCTTTATAGTGTGGTGGAAAAAAAATAACGTAAGAAATTCACAAGTCAAGAAATATTAAAAGAGTAGGTAGATTGAATGATCGGAAACGACCAAGCTATACAAATTATATATTCTCCAAACATTTGATGATTTTGATATACAAGTAGTTTTTAATTTCTTTCTGGTTTAGTTGTAAGAATTGATTGTCAGATTGAAGAGGGATGATCTGATGATTGTGAAAAGTGAGGGATGATTCAATAAGCCTTCCATTATGCGACAGGAAAGAGGAATGGAGCTGTAAATAACACCTCCCATAAATGGCGGCTTATGCTTCTTTCGGAAGGGCCAATTTCCCTTATTAGCAATTAACCTTTTGATCTGAGTCCTATTCGATTCTTGCCCTCTTTCATACCGTGAAAGGGAGCGTGAAGTGAGGATGGATTGAACGAGATCGGTAATTTAATGACGAATCTATCCCGGCGTAATTAATTACCTCAGATTCCAAACGGGGTTGAAATGGATTCGGGGGTGGACTCGTATTGATTTTAAACGCCGTCGCAGCTACCTGCGGAGTCTTCGGGGCTGCAGTCAGGGTATCTGGACGATCGAAAAATGAAAAAAGAAATCATTACGCCGTCTATGAATTTAATCGGCTTATACGAAGGCGAGGCCATAAATGAAATATCGACGAGATATAAGCCTTTCGAAGAAATAATTAAAAGCGAACGCCTTATTGGATAACTTAAATATTTAAATCCGTCTTATATGGTTTACAAGCTCCTTTATTTCCACTATCGGCCAGATCTACTCGATTTCGATTAATATTTCGTCCGTTCAAAATAAGATTAAACCGTTTGACGGGATTTTTAATATTGACGTGAAAAAAACGGGCCTCACCGTTTTATTAAAGGCGAGCGTTTCTTCTTAGATATAACAGATTTGTAACTTTTTTGTCGCTTAAATTGTCTTGTTTTTTGATAAAGCTTTGAGATTAAACAAGAAACCCTTTCTCGGAGGCCACTAAATCACGTTCTGTACGTATAATCGCTTAGCTTTGAGGTGTATCACTTAAAAGCACTTCTTTAAATTGAACAATTGACAAAAACACAACAATTTTTGACTTAAAAGTCAACTACCTTAATAGCTTTCTTAAGAATATAAATCTACTTCTAATGTCGAACAAACTCATTCACTTCGGTATTGTGTTCAAATCTCCAATTGACTTTTTTTTCCACAAAAATAACCTGAAATTATCATTGAAACCTTTAATTATTTGATATTTTGGCTGTGGGTGACGTTGGTCGGTTTGCTCCTTCATATATAGAAAATCTCATCTTAAGTTTAAACAAAAAGATTTTTGTTTCTTAACAAATATAAATTTTCAATAATAAATATAGCGTGGTTTATCAATTATAACGGTAAATTGTTATTAAAATATATACTTACAAGATTTATGACTGTTGGCCCGCTTCGTTTCACTGTATTTAGTTTTTTGTTAAAAAAACTGCAAATTTCCAATAATAGAAATTGCACCATTTCATGAATTAACACGTGAAATTATTTTTAAAATCTATACTTATTAGATTATTGGACTGAGTCCGCTTCGTTTCACTGTTCATTTTGATCCTTCAGATAAAGAAAATCACATCTTACAGATCTTTAAAGAAAATGTATTTTGTCAACAATTGAAATTGCACTATTCCATGAATTAACACGTGGAATTATGTTTGAAATCTGTACTTATTAGATTATTATATTACTTATCAGA